ATTGGGACTCCAAACTTGTTTTGGCAGCACGTGCGGAAGAGGTGTAGGGTGATGCTCACGTGTTGGAGTCTATTGCTCACAACTGCTGAAACTGCTGAAACGGCGGAGTAGGTAAGTGTGCAAAGCTGGGAATAAGTACAAATATGTAAATAAGTGCAAACTGTAAATAAGTACACAGTCATCAGAAATTCTGGGTGTTCTTCGGCACAAAGTAGTCCTGGGACGTAGTAGTGGTGATGTAGGCTAACTGTTTGACAAAGCGAGCTGCTGTCAGTCGTGTGCTGATGGATCTCGATGTGAGTCTATGGCATTGTCGGTCTCTGTCGCTTTGTCTGATGGTGCTGAGGCTTCTGTGGTCATCGTGCTGGCATCTCGTCTGGCCGGTGCTGCTGCCTCGGCTTGGTGAGAGGTGTGACGAGGTGATGCTGCTTCTGCTTCTGGGCTCTCAGGTGGTTGAGGTGTGTAAAGAATCTGCAAGACTTGCCAGCGACCTTTGCAATCAAAGGGTGTTTTGTTGAGTGCCTTGGCAATGTATTTCCAACTGGGGCGAGCTCGCTTGTTGAGCTTGAATGAAGCCAATTTTTCGTCATCGCTGGGTTCCCACCCTCCATTGTCGGGATATGGAGAGGAGTCGTTGAGAGCTTGTTGTGGTTTAGGTGGAGGTAATGGAGATGGTGGTGGCGGCGTTGGCGGCGGCGGCGGAGGTGTGGAGGGTGAGCTGTTGAGAGAGATTGTTGTGACCGGTGGTGTAAGCTGTTGGAATCCTGTGTTGTTTTGGTGTGTCAGTTGTTGTTGAGTCTTTGTGTCCTTGTGTTGTGCTGGTGAGTGCTGATGCGGTGTAGTGGGTGTGTAGGAGGGTGAAGGTTCTGGTTTGCATCCCAAGTGTGGTTTGACTGTGGTGGGTGGTGGACTGCGACTGCGTGGTGGTGTAGGTGGTGGCGGCGGTGGTGGAGTGCGTCTGCGTGATCGTTTAGTAGAGGTCGGAGTGGAAATGGATTGGTTGGCAGGTGGTGGTGGATGTGGTGTAAAAGGTGGTAGGTTTTGAAACGTGGTGGCGATAGATGTGGCTGCTTGAAGGTGAGCCAGAAGGAGTCGATGTGCAAATGCCGTGTCCAAAGGGGATGTCATACTCGTGGTACTCTTCGTAGAACCGGTATGGCTTGTTCAGCGGTATAGGGTCGTACTGAATAGTTTGGATAATGTAAAATGGCTGCGGTACAAAGCAAGTGAGTGAAAAAAATGAAGATCTCTTGGTGCGACACAGTCAGTGCATGTGAAAAGTCTGAAATGTCGTCCGTCATGGTGACTTCAATGTTGTATTCCCTGCATAGAGACATGCGCAAGGAACATCTTGAAAATAGATGAAGGTTGTCAAAGAATAGTGACGCAGTAAAAAGAAAAGAGTTGGAAAGCGAGCAATGTGGGTATTTTGAGGACTTGTCGTCAACCGAAATGAAGGGTGAAAAAGGACCCTCCTGGGCCGGAAGGGTTGAATTAAATGAAGCTGAGCGGTGGCTTTGCATCGCTTTTCCAGGCAATCCCTTCAATCCTTGAATGCTTCGGGTGTGCCACCCAGCATTTTCCTGGAGTATATTTTACAATCCCTTCGCCGCGGAGCAGCAGGTCATTCGCAGCGGATTCGCCCCCATGAGTTACTTTCTGGCCATGGCCATAAGCTTTGATCGTCAAGATGAGGCCGCTGCGGTTCTTAGCCATGTTTGAAGCGTTGAATAACACTCGTGCGGCTTCGGTAACATCATGTGGCTCATAGTTCGAGAGTTCGAAAGCCTGGCAAAAGACACCTACATTGTGGTCGTCGCGCAGAACGGATCTCACAATTTCTCCTGCTTCAATGCTTCAAGTATGGAGATGATGTTTCCCTCTTCGCTAACATGTGCAGCAAAGATGTGTTTAATCGGTGGTATATTCAAAGCTTCTCTCCTTGTTGGAGGGAGGATTGGGGCATCGCCCCTGCTCGCAAGTGTGGGGATGGTGAGTAGTAGGAATGAGTGATGTTCATCTTTGTTGATGTCATCGTTCCATTTTGCGTGTGTGAGAAGTTGCATGTCAGTAAAGTGGGTGCTGTTGAGATGGGCAGCGCTGAGCACTTTTGCCACGTAGGAGATCATGGGTTCATTGTGAACGTCGAGTGATTGTGCATACTGGTTGATCCATTGGAAGACATCCAATTGGGCTGGATCAGTGGGTGGTTGAAATTTTGGAGAAGGAAGGTTGTGAGGTCGTCGTTGGACTGGTATAGTTGGTGGTACTGCGGGCGGTGGTGTTGGTGCCTTTTTGGTGGTGTGCTTGGGTGTGAAAAGTGGATTGGGTTTGAGTATGATGCCAGAGGTACGGTGGGCTGATTCTGGAGTGTGTTTGGTAGTGGTGGCAACGGTGATGCCTTTGGTGGAAGTGTGGGTTTTGTCCTGGATCAAGTCTGGTGGTGGTGATGTGTGCCTGTCAGCAGGCGTGGAATGTGGTTGTGAACTGGCAACTGATTGGGTAGCTGAGCCTCGTCGTCGTGGCAGTGGAGAGCGTGGAGAGCGGGCTGAACGAGTGCGGCTCCTGGATCTGGATGTGGCTTGTGATGGTGCACTGGTGGGAATGGCAGGAAAGGCTGAATAGCGGCGGTGTTCAGGTGTACGTGGAGGCGATCGATCTGGGTCTCGCCATATGCCTCTCGTGGTGCTGAGTGTGGGTGCAATGGATGGTGTCGGTTTTGTTGTGCGTGTCACGCTGGGTGGTGGTGGAGGGTGAGCAGTTGTGGTGATGGATGCTGAAGTGGGCTCAGTGGGAGCTGGTTGGGTATGTGGTGGAGTGGATGTGGCCGGCTGTGATAAAGTAGTTGCTGCGGGAGTAGTGGTGTGTACTGGATCTGTTGAGGGAGGTGATGGTTGTGGTGGTGGTGGTGACTGGCTTGTAGAGTGTGGTGCATGTGGTTGGGGTAACTGTGTTGGAGGTGTGTGGTCGTGGGACTGCATTGGCTGTGTTGTGGGTAGTGGATGCGGTTGTGGATGTTGGGTGTTGTCAAAGTGGACGGTAGGTTGTACTGGATAATGTGATGTGTGTAGTGGATGTGGCTGCATATAGTGTGCTTGAGGTGGAAATGTCGTGGGATGTGGATAAACGTGAGGTATTGGATGATGTGATGGAACTGGTGGCAGTGTTGGGTATGGGTGCGGCGGAGCTTGTGGTGGGTAAGGGAACCAGTGTGGTTGTGTGGGCTGTGGTTGGGGCTGTAGGTGTGGTGGTAGTGAATACGGCCAGGGATACGTCATGGCTGCTCGGCAAATCGAATGAGGTCGATGTATGTATGTAGATATGTAAATCAAAGCAGTCCTTGAACTTGAACTTGAGAAAGTTATACGATAGAATACAATATGATGCTGCAAAGTGGAGGAGTGTGCAACTGACTCTGATTAAATCTCTGAAATTGAAAATTGAAAAATTAATAGGAGAAGGATTCTCGGGTGAAACTGATGCAGTCAAACTCTGCAGTATATTTCAGTGGAAGTTTCAGTGAACTCTGCAGTAAACTTCACGTGTGACGGGTGAGACAATCCAAGCAAGCTGATTTCGAGCAGGAAAATTCGGTCGAGTGAACTTCAGTAAAATTTTCAGGAAACTTACTCCTGCGATGAGGAGTGAGAAGGTTCTTGCAGTAACGGCGCCCCGCAGGGATCACACAGCTTACCACAGTGGGAAGAAGCTGCGGAAACACACTTGAGAAGGTTGCTCCGTGGAGCTTGTCTTCAGGCAGTTCGCGGTGAGCATTAGCACTTTAGTGTTACTGCGAATTAGACCTTGACTAAAGAGAAAGTGCTGAGTCGGTCGACCAGAATGTTTGAACAAGTCGTTGAGAGTACTATTAAAAATTGCAGGTACAAGATACTGCGTCCAGTATCTCTTCCAGCGGAACACCATAGCTTTGTTAGCACGGCTAGGTGAACGGCCGCCGTGCCCCCTGCTGGTGCTGTACAAAGGTTCGTAAAGTCATAGGAAAAGAAATAGCTAGATTAGTGTCCTTGGAAACAGGAGTGGACACACACACACACACACTCGCATACCGCATACCCCTCTATCTTAGACCGGGCTGTTTAGACTATTTGGTGCTCCCTGTTTCCGTACCAAAATGCTGGCCATGACAGCTGAACAACAGCGATGCCAACTGCGTCAGAGTCGCCTTTGCAAAAAACAGGTAACTTTTTCGCATCGTGGTCTGGCAGCTGGCAAGTGGCGACAGCCACTAGCCTTTAAACAGCCTGGTTGCCTGGGCCCGCAATTCCCGGGAAAGCATGCAAATTGCCAGTACTTGGTGCCCAAGATGAAACCCCATACAGCCATAGCGACTGACAACATCCAGCGGTAAACCAGCGTTGAACTCTCTGATGCTGAGCAACCTACCCTTCACATTTGCCTTCACCTTTACCATGTTGCAACATGGTAAGCTCGCGAGCAGAACACCATCGCAAGGCTATCCTTGGCAGCTTCCACTGTACCCCAGCCTTTTGCTCCTTGCATAGGAAGTCCATGGACTTCAAGAAACACTGCGACATAGGCATCTTGGCACAACCCACAGCCTTCCTGTCACTACTGCAATTCTTTTTTGGATGGCTCGTTTTTTGGGGCCAACGCCTGACTTGCCATTCCTTCCAGCCTTGGTGTCTGTGGTGTTTGTTGTAGTTCTTCCAACTTGAGTTTGATCGCCATGACATCCCACGCAATAGCGCAAGGATAAGTTAAAGCAAAATTAAAACTAAGCTGAAGTAGTCCGCATCTTGAACGGACTGGGGCCTTAGAATGCTCCACTCCTGTTGTAGCTTTTTCTGAGCCATGTTCCAGTGTTCTGAGTATGAACGGATTTGTGGGCCGTTAGATTGTTTCTTTGTGGGGCATCACTCCCTACAAAGCAGGGTTCGGTGGCATTTGTATTTTCTTTTGTCACAAGCTTTGTTTCCCTCAAAGAATGGTGCGGGGGGGTCCGGCTGATGTTCTGCCAGGCTTTACTGGTCCTAGCTGGATCAGTTTTGACCAGCTATGTAGGAGTTTCTGCCTCAGCATGCTTCAATCCACAGGCAGACTTGCAATCAGCATGCAAGTTTGACACAGGTTGTTGGCCTTTTTCAGCGCATGGCAGGGGACAGGTGCTTCGAGACCTGTTTGCTCATTCGTTGGCATGTGGAGAGAGAGAGAGAGAGATAGCTTCCAACTGATGTAACAGCTGTGGACCTGACTGCAGGACATAGAACTTGGCTGCTTTATGCAATCTTCTGAGACCTCATAAAGCTTTTAGTGAGCCATAACAAGTTCTTATAATTTGAAGCTCAATCAAACGAGGGCCCCCCCGAGCATTGTTTTTGCAAAGAGTTTGCAGACTGATTGAAAGGTCAGAGTACTTTAGTCGATTCGCTAATGCTTCAAGCTCATAACTGATGGCCTTTGGAGCTCAGTTATCTACCGCATTTAGCAACACGTAAGACGCAACAGATGGTGGTGTCCTGGGGGGACAATTCTTACAGTCCTTATTTTGGCAGCAGCTCCTCAGCAGACTAGTGGCATAGATTGGGAGCCATCAAGTCTGTTGCGACAGGCCGCCCCACTGCTTGAAAGTTTACTGTACATGTCAGGAACGCTGATGTGAAGTGACAATCTCTTTTCAATTGCTTGGCTGGATGAAGGATGAAGGATGAAGGATAGAGCCTCCAGTTCTTCGTTGTGGCCGTTAGGTCTCATCACACCTTCCTTGCCAGAAATGAAGTGGATAATAACCTTGACCGTTTGCTCGATATCTCCTTCTCTCTTGGGTAGTTCACGATTGATAAAGCCGGTGGCGGAGACACGAGAGGCATCCACAATCAGCCTAGACTTGGAGACAAAACATCTAGTAGCGATGACCTCCAACCGACTAGCGATGGCCTCCAACCGACTAGCGATGGCCTCCAACCGACTAGTGATGGCCTCCAACCTATTAGCTCTGGCCTGGGAACTTGCGGATGCACGAGGGCCAGATGACATGTCCATTTGCACCACGGGCCTTCTTGCCATGCTGGCGACAGGAATAGACAATTGTTGTTTGCAACCAACTGTGAAGTGACACCGCATGCATTCCCACACCATGGGCCTGGGCCCGAAGGCATCATTGCATGGAAGGATGTTTGATTTTGACCGTGAACACATGACGGGACGAGTTGATTGGCTTCTCTTCTCTTTGCTTGATCACATATCACCATATCGCCACATGTTTTGTCTAGGCATACGCACTTAACTTCCAAAACTCTGCCAGGTGCTTGCCGGAATTCTTCAGCGAAACCAACACATGGCGGAACACCCCGCAGGGACCACAGTCACCTCTATGAAAGGCAATCAGCGCATTGCAAAACTTAAGTTTCCCTAAGAACCTAACAACCAAATCAATCTTCTTCAAGGAAGCTCCCCTTGCAGCCCCAAAGCTAGTAGCGTTATCTACTTAAATCTACTTAATAGCAACTACTTGCCCCCCGCAAGAGAAGAGAGCAGGGGATTATGGTAAGGCCTTTTTCCAGATGTTTCTCACATGATTGCCAAAGATCAAGATATTGATCGTTAATATATATATATATGTATATATCGACCCCTCATGATCTACCTACAGCTATTTTCTGTGGGCCTGCCTATACAAACAACTATTTTTTGAACCTACAAAAGCATTTTCAAAAAAGTGCTAAACACCTGCTGTTTTCAAGGATTATATATATAACTATATATACATGATACATATTTAAAGATGCAAAAAAACACCTACAGTACTATTTCTAGCAATTTTGGACAACAAACACGAAGAACAACAAACACTTGGGAACTCTGGGTTCAGGCTTTTTTGATGGGTTTTGGTTTCTATTTTTGTTGTTTTCGTTTCTTTTGGACATCCTTTATTATTTATCGATTTGAACTAAAAGAAACAACTAGTTTGATGGAGTTTAAAGGGACATCAGGAAACACAAAAGGACTCCTTTTCCAACGGGAGTTCCTTTTGGGCCCTCTTCATTCTGATTAAACGACAGAAGCTTATCAGAGTATTGCAACAATATCAACAATCTACTTAACATCTCATCAGAGTATTGCAAGAATCTATTCCACAGAGGGGGTAGCCGCGTACAGAAAAGCAGCTGACAAGCAGGAAAAGGGAGAAGAGCTGGGCAGTATGAAAAGTAGAAGAGCTGAAGGCAGGAAAAGGTAGAAGAGACGAACAGCAGGAAAAGGTAGATCATTGGCCGGGGTGAGCATATATATATATATACACACATTTGTGACTGGTGTGCGGTTTGAATCCCTTTAAAGCCCTCTCTAGAACCAACATTCTTTCTATTGATGGTTATTTTGTATCCAAGTAGAACTTTTAAAGTAACTATTGATTCGTAATCTGGTTGCAATCATAATCCCTTTTAAGGCTTGTTTCAATATCAATGTGAATGTCGGTTTTGCACTTGGCCGCCAATTAAACGTCCCTTTGATAATGGTTTAACAACCAATGGAGTCAACTTGGAACCCCTTGCAGAAAGGTGTTCAACATCAATCAGTATTGGTTTTCAATGTGTTTCCAGTTAGTAACTTTCTAAGCGCCTGTAGTCAAGACCTGTTAGTTCATTAGTGTTCAATGTTTTCTCTAATTCGCACTCTCCAGGTTTACGGTTGACATATTTTAAATTTTGGTTTGACATTGGTTTCCAGTTCCCAATTGAAATAAAGTGGTAAAACCTTCCAATAGTGAATGAACTAGTTGATATGTCATTTTTCCAGCAAACTTTTCAAACACAAACGTCGAACCGCAATCGGTTTCTAATCAACATCCTGTTCAGAATCTGTTAAATATTGACCTGGATAGAGTGAGGTATGATTTTGTTGTGAAGGGTAAGTTAAATATTGAACACCATTTTCTACATGTACAAAAGCACGGCTAATTGTGAGCTTTCACAACTCCACCAATTGTAAGGGCTTCGCCCTGGTGCCGCCGACCCCTTTTTTGGGAAGGACCAGTGAAAGCTTAATGTAGAAACGAGGAGCAAGAACGCTAGTAACGTAGAAGCTAACCGTGCCTGGCACGTCGCCTTCGGGAGCCCATAAAGCAGTTGCCTGGCACGTCGCTTTCCATGCCCTGTTGCCTGGCCCAGTTGCCTGGCAGCTGAGGTGTGCGTATAAGGCAGAATGCAGCCGCAGCGGAGGGTTTCTGGGCGGGCAAACGACACCATCTATTTCCACACCAAAAAGAGGCGAGCCGCAGCCAGCCAAAATGCCCCATAAACATATCCCCGGCGTTAAGAAATGAATCACAGGGACCGCTGAGTCTCTGATTAATTTTTCCTGATTAATTCAGGAATATTGCAGAATACTCAAGTTGGATGATGAAGCTGAAACTATGAAATTAATCAGAAGGAAGATAATGGTAAATAATCAAAAGGTGGGAGAGTTACTCTGGAATCACGGCAAATAATTTCAGTCCGGTGTTGAGGTTAAAAATAATCAGAGGGTACCAGAGATGTGATGTAGGTACTGATCAATTTTTTGGCATGTTGCGTTCCTGTGAGCGTGGTGACTTCCGTTGACCTGCTGAGAGCACAGGACAGAGATGGATAGAGTGAAGAAGAAGCATGCAATACAACATAAAGTGTCAGAATGTATAAGACACCTGAAGCAAGAACACATAATAATGTATATTATCACACACTCATTGTGGGGCATTTGGGAAGTTTGTGTGATATTTGAAGGGCCGTCGTAGCCATGGGCCCGCCAGATGGTTTGTGGTCAAAGTGTCAAATTGCAAATTGCATCTTGGATATCAATCAAGATGCAAGTTTTTATGTGCTTTTTTGTTTTAAGCATTTTTTGTGGTACTTTTGAACAATTCATATGAATGACGCAGAGAGCCCATCATTGCCCAGGCCCTGGAGAATTCAAACATCCAATATTCAATGCCAAGCATATGGTTTGGACAGCACAGTGCGTTACTTGGAAATTTATTTAGATATGTTTAGATTTTTTTCGGACTTTGCGAGAATCGCGCATGGTTTGCTTAAGTTGTGTTTATTTGAAAAGGATTCCTCAAACAATATTTAGCAATATGTTTCCATTGGCTGAGGATTGTGAAGGGGTGTCTTCGAGCGGGCTGCGCGGGCGGGTCCTCACTAACAGTCGTTCGAATGTCGACCGGAACGGTAGTTGCATCGTGTTGCATCTAATGCTGTTTGATTTTAATAAGACTTTAGAAGAAGTCTTCATAGACTTTTCATTATTTTCAGATATTTTCGGTTTTTCTTGCTAGTATCCGCTTCGTTGTGCCCACCAAGTAACGGATCTATATGGTGTATGACTTCTTGCTTGACGAAGACACCTGCGACATGGAAAAAATGGATGGAAGCCATCTTCAGCAGTGCCTGCTGCAGCTCCACCAGACACTTGGGCTGGGATGCTTTTGGGAGTTTTATATATTGTTTTTTATGTATTGAATTGTTTTCATAATTTTCCAATGTTCTTTTCACATTGCCTTACGAGTTTAAACATGCTTAAACATGTTCGAAATTCGACAGAGGTTTTGCGAACAGGCAGCTCTTGGTACATTTGTTTTGAGTCCAGTGTCTCATACAAAGGCGACGGATGCTGGCCAGAGCCCGGGCGAGGCGGCGAAGGAGAAATCGAAGAACATGGAGTTGCCAGCGGCTGCTGAACCTCAACCGATCTCATACATCACCATCCAGAAAACTGACAATGGTTTCTTCGATGATGTTTTGACAGCTTATACTACCTTTCAAAAAGTTTAATAATACAAACGTTGAGAACATATAATGTAATATATTCTCTTTATATTTTTCTTAGTTTATCTATAGATTTTCTATATGTTTTTTTGTCCACTTTTCAGGTTCCTCAACTTCAGAAGGAGCAGCAAATGCGGCCGAACTTTCCACCAACGCTGATGGCAACAAGAGCGCGCCATCAGAGAACTTCAAACTGGAAAGCGACCGTTTCCTGGAAGAAAGATGTTTGTCATTTGTTT